TAATTACAGAGTAAAGAAAAGGAAACATGAACCAAATGACAGAATCCTATTTTACACGTGATTAAAACAAATTGTTTATTTTTAAAAAACAGTCTCGAGTTAAATGAAGCTGCAGCGACCTGCTGGTTTGAGAGGAATCCAGAGTTTCAGTGGATCAGACCTGAAGCATCAAACCTGTTGGATTCTTGTGAATAAACGTCACTCGGTGGCTCGTTACTGACCTGAAGAATTAATTAGTCCAACGAGTCTCTTTTTTTAGTGTGAAACAGAAGAGCAGCTGAGAGGCAGAAAGAAGGAGCAGATTTTATTTTCTGTTTTTCTACCTATCAGACACGTCGGCTCGTTAATCTGCTCGTCACTGTTCTGACTTTAACGTCTTCACAGCTCTGAGCTCTGAACTCGTCTCACTGCTCAAAACCTCTTTGCAGAGTTTTAGGATCCATGAAAACTCATCAAATTATTTTTTCCCTGCAGGCTGCTGATGAAGGCTGACTGGATCTGGGAGCAGGTTCTGGTGATGAGCGGGACGGCGCCGGCGGAGGAGGTGAGTGTGACTGATCTGATCTCTGAACAGTGACTTCAACCAAAGTCATACAAACTGTACATTAATGATGATCTAACGATCAGCTGGACACCAAAACAAACAGTCATCTGTTCAACACATACGTTCTCCTCTTTGGACTCTCAGAACCTAAACAAGTTATTTACCTGCATTAAAGTGTGACGGAACCTTGAACATATGATTATTATTGATGGAATCAGTGAAACATAAAAACAGTCGCGTCTTCTGCAGACAGAACCAACCTGTTGGGTCATAAATAAACAAACAGCAACAAGAACCATCAGTTCTGGTCATGTAGAAAGTTGTCCTAATCAAAGCCTCCTAACTTCTCCTGAGTGGTTCTGATCGACTCCAGAAAGTCACCAGAAAGTCACCTGGAGCCGTTTCAGAGCAGCTTCAGATCCAGAACCATCAGTGTGTCAGCATAAAGTCCATGGTCCAGTTGTGTTACTGCCACCATCAGGAAGGAAACACAAACTAGCAGCTGCTGCTGAGAGACGACTGGTCAGGATGGTCAAGAGTCAACCAGGAACCAGCAGGAAGCAGCTCTGGATGGACCAGAAGCTGCTGGAACACAGCTGTCAGTGTCCACAGGGTCTGACATCAACATGAGCTGAGAGGTGATGGAGAAGGAAGTTCTTCCTCGAGAAGCAGAACCTTAAAGCTCCACTGAAGTCTGCTGCTGGTCACATGGACAAAGAAAAGACCTTCTGGAGGAAAGTTCTGGTCAGATGGAACCAACACTGAGCAGAACCATGTCTGGAGGAGAGAAGGTGAGGCCTTTAACCCCAAGAACACCAAACCTACCATCCAGCATGGAGGTGGCAGCATCATGCTCTGGTTCTGTTCTGCTGCCAGTGGACCTGGAGCTTTACCCTTTAGACTGTTTGTTCCTCACCTTGGGACAAACATTCAAAGATCCAACAGGCTGTCTGAGAGCCTCACACTCATTTTCTTCTAGAACCAGAACCGGGTCCTCGTGATGCGTTAACCGGTGTCCTCACAAAGATAGCCTTCCCTGTGTGTGTGTGTGTGTGTGTGTCTGAGAGCAGCTGAAGTGGTGATGATGAGGAGCGTGTTGAAGAACCGCCTCCATCATCTTCATCATCTTCATCATCTTCATCGTCTCCATCACCTCCATCGTCTTCATCACCTCCGGCACACACATACATGTCTTCCTTCCGGTGTGAGGACCCTCATTAACATAACGTCATCAGGACCTGAACCCGGTTCTGACCTGAACTCTGACACAGAACCAAAGTCAGAACCCACATGGGGTCCTCACACAGTGGACCAGGTGGAACATCCAGCCTTCAGTGTGTGTGAAGCACTTTGAGTTCCTCTGAGGTGGACCGGTTCTGTATCAGTGACACCGGTTCTGTATCATGACACCGGTTCTGTATCAGCGACACCGGTTCTGTATCGGCGACACGGTTCTGTATCAGCGACACTGGTTCTCAGAGACGATGAATAAATGAGTGTAGCAGAACTCTGTCAGACACCAGTAAAGTTTTTATTGACACGTTAACGGTAAACAAACAAACAAACAAACAAACAAACAAACAGTCAGATCTTCACTCTGTGACTCAACAGAATAATTTTACTTTCAAACAATTCAAATTTAAAAAGAAAACAAACAGTTTAAATCAATAAAGAACGAACTGTGTGTCTGTACAAACGGACTCGTTCCTTCAGTCGCTGTTAAACTTCATGTTCCAGAAGCTCCAGAAGCTCCAGAAGCTCCAGAAGCTCCAGAAGCTCCAGAAGCTCCAACTGTTCTCAGCCTAAAGCAGAAAAACCTTCGTCCTGCTTCTGCTGCTGCTTAATTAATCAATTAACCGCTAACGAGGGTCCTCCAGATGCTAATTAGGTGACAGCTGATTGAGTGTTTATGATCAACGTGATGATTGTTGTTGGAGGCAGAGCTCATTCAAACCAACACAACTTTATTGATGTGTCAGTGGAACAACGGATCAATACCCTAATTAATCAATCAGCTAATGAGTCAGTAACGAGCTGGATGTGCAGCTCTGCTCTGAATGTTTGACATTAAAACAACTGAAGGTGACCATTAAAATTAATTTATCTGCATGACGTCGTTAAGTTTCCAGCTCTCTGATTGGCTGCTGGGCGACCAATCAGAGAGCCGCGGCAAGAATCCTGAGTAAATATTTACATGTTTACAAGGCAAACTTCTGTTTGTTTGTTTATTTACTTATAAAATAATTTTAGTGTAATAATGAACGTGTTTGTGGAGCTAATTATGAAACAGAATTAATTAATCAAAGAGATGATTTAGAGCTAAACAGGTGATTTAATTAAAACTCATTAAACTGATGGACAGATTTTAGAGATTCATATTAAACTGTCTGGATTCTAATATTTTGTTAGAATAAATAATAAGGAAACAATAAAATAACGTTTTTACAACATTAGAAAAACAAACGAATCAACCAGAAACCAGAAGATTAGAATCAATGAAACAGAACAAATGTCATCAAATAAAAACAGACGTGAAGCAAAGATCACAAATCAGATCCAGAAACACGCAGAAAAAAGAAATCAAACATTTAAAACAGAAAGAATCTGAATGAAAATTAAGCGTTTTTATTTTATTTCTGGTTTTATTTTATTTCTGGTTTTATTTTATTTCTGGTTTTATTGTTTTATTTCTAACTGATGAAATAAAACTTCTGCAGCAACAAAATCAATTGAATCAAACTGAATGAAAAAATGAAATGAAAAATATTTTATTTATCTCGGAAGCGAAATTTAGTTTGATTCATTAATTTTGAAATTAATTCGAATGAAACACATTTAAAACGAAAATAAAAGACAACAGTTTAAAAACAGCAAACCAGTGAAGACCCGGACTGAGCTCATCATCGGGAGATAGATTCGATCCGGACTCGTGTCAGCGCCGAGTCGCTCCGAGTCCCGGAGCTCCTGGTCCCGGCCCGCCGGCCCCCGGAGCCACCGGAGCCACCGGAGCCACCGGAGCCACCGGAGCCCGGAGAGCCGCGCCGTGATCGTCCCTCTGCTGCGTTCTGACCCAATGAGAGCCGACGGAGGGAAGAACGGATCCGAGCAGAAGAAACCCGGTGACTGCTGATTGATTATTGATTATTAGAGCAGTCAGACAATTAACAGCATAATGAGTCTTAATTCAATCAGTTAATTAGAAAATATTTAGATCGTTCATTTCATAAATTAAAAGTCAGCAAATGATTTTTATTCTTGTTGAATTTAAATCCTGTTGAAGCTGCAGCGACTCGTTCAGAACACACGAACCCGGACCGTCTGATGACCCGGTTCCGTTTGGGTTTTATCTCCATAAATAACCATGAAGCAGAACCGGTTCATGTCCCGGTGATGGACTCACATCTGCTCTGGTTCTGGTTCTGCTGCTGCTCAGGTTTCATCTAAAAATCTAAAAAAGGTTCAAACAATCAGCAGCTTTTAAAAACAAAAAAAGTTCCTTCAGTTAAACAAAGAATCAAATTAAACTGGAAAATAAAACATTTAAATTCTTCTAAAGAAAAAACTAAAGCGGCTCAAATTAAAGGTTTAATTTAAACGTTTTAAATCAATGCGGAGCGGATCAGAACCACTGAAGGTTCGGTCGTTTGAGGAAACCTGAAAAAATCATTTAGAGTTCAGGAAACAGAGAAAAACATTTAAAACAAAACAACAACAACAAAAACAAAAAAAGGTTCAATTCACTCATTTCTGGTTCACAAACAAAGTTCGTCAACGGAGAGCCGGTTCTGGTTCCGCCTGGTCGGGCTCCGGCGGTTCGGCTTCACTGTGGAGGAAAGAACCGACGAGCAGCTCAGTGAGAGGCCCCAACACACACACACACACACACACACACACACACACACACACACACTCTCAGACCTCCGCCGTGGCTCCGGTGCTGCTCCCCGGCTGGAGGCTCCTCCGCGCGGCTCCTGCTGCCGTCAACTGAACGGGACTCTTGTTGTGGTTCCGAGTAAATAAATGAACCCCCCGGAGCCCCCCCTGCCCCCCCGCCCCGCCGCCCCTCCCTCCCTCTGGTCACGTGACGCTGAAGAAGTTCCTCTTTAATGAGGCTCCGGTGTCTCCGCGTCCAGCCGCTCCCGGGACAGACCCGGACACGGAGGCAGCCGCCGCGTAGCGCAGCTCAGCAGCGGCCAGGAGGAGCACGGACACCGCGCTGCAGCTGCCGGAGACCCGCACAAACCCGCAGAGAACCACAGAGACCCGCAGCAGCTGCCGCCGTAACTTTGTGAGAGCGGGCTGACGGTGCGGGGCGATGCGGGGCAGCGCGCAGCGGCGCTGCGTAAAGGCGCAGTGAGGAGCTGCTGCTGCACAAAGTTTGCTCAAAGTGACACGAGCCTCGGACTGAACTGAACCCGGTCCGGTCCGGCTCGGTCCGGTCCGGTTCTGCAGAACCATGCCTCGCCCGGGCCGGAACACGTACAGCGACCAGAAGCCTCCGTACTCGTACATCTCGCTGACGGCCATGGCCATCCAGAGCTGCCCGGAGAAGATGCTGCCGCTCAGCGAGATCTACAAGTTCATCATGGACCGGTTCCCCTACTACCGGGAGAACACGCAGCGCTGGCAGAACTCTCTGCGCCACAACCTCTCCTTCAACGACTGCTTCATCAAGATCCCGCGCCGCCCGGACCAGCCCGGGAAGGGCAGCTTCTGGGCGCTGCACCCCAACTGCGGCGACATGTTCGAGAACGGCAGCTTTCTGCGGCGCCGGAAGCGCTTCAAGGTGGGCAGCATGCAGCCCACCGACCCGCTGGGCCCCAGCAAGCCGCAGGACGCCGCCCACTACCTGCAGCAGCAGGCCAAGCTGCGGCTCAGCGCGCTGCACGCCGCCGCGCACCTGCCGCAGATGTCGGCCGGATACAACCTGAGCTCCGCGGCGCAGCCGTCCGGCTTCAAGCACCCGTTCGCCATCGAGAACATCATCGCCCGAGAGTACAAGATGCCGGGCGGCCTGGCGGCCTTCTCGCCCGCCGGCTACCCGCTGCACAACCAGCTGGCCCCGGCCTGGCCGCACATGTACGGCTCCGGGATGATGGACCCGGCGGCGCCCATCAGCGACTACTCGGCCTACGGGATGCCGCTCAAGTCCATCTGCCACGGCCAGACGCTGCCCGCCATCCCGGTGCCCATCAAGCCCACGCCCGCCTCGGTGCCCGGCCTGCCCGGGCTGCCGGCGCACATCCCGGCCTTCCTGGCCAACTCGCCCCAGTCCCTGAGCCCCACGTCCCCGCAGACCGCCACCGGGCAGAGCAGCCCGGCGGCGCCCGGAGAGGCGCTGCAGCCCGCGGTGGCGGTCCACTGACGGCTCCGAGTCCAAAGCTGGTTCCATCCGTGGTTTCGTTTCATTCTGTGACCTCTGACCTCCGGCCCGGTCCCGTTCTGTCCACATTCCTGCTGCCGGACTGGTTCAGGGCTCGCTGGGTCCTGCAGAGCCAAAGGTCCGGACCTTTGTTCCGGGTCTTTTCTTCCGGGCCTGACTGGACACACTGAGACTCACTTTGTGCTGGTTCTGTTCTGCTCCGGACTGAAGCAGAACCTGTGAGGAGGTGAAGTTTTTCCACTTTAGAGGAAAAGCAGCCGGGCTTCTCCAGAACCAGAACCTCCTTCAGCACCGTGTGTCTTTTTAAATGGACTTTATTTTGATAAGAACAATCCAGAGCAGAACCGACGGACTGAGACTGATGGTATATTTATGTCTGAGGTTCTGCACAGCCCAGAACCAACCCCTGGAGGTGTTGGACCATGAACGAGGTTCTGAAGTCTCTGATGCACTTTTTCACTCTCGGTGTTTTGTAGGGCTGTCGGGTTGGGCTTTGCTGTAACCGGGCCGCTGTCTGTGTATTTGTACTGCTGCATGCTGTCTGAAAACAGAACCGGTCTGTGTTTGTGAGTGTTGGTTTGATTTCTGGGCCGTCTGGAGCTCAAAGCATGACCCAGACCGACCCGCAGCTTCCTGCACTGTGTTGCTCATCCAGCTCATTAAAGAACCTTCACGGGAAAAACAACGGGTCCGTCCGAGTCCGAGTCCGAGTCCTGCACTTCTTCACAGTAGATGTAATCAGAACAAACCCAAAGGCCTGTAGAGGTTCTGGTGTCCTCCGGGTCGTGTCTCAGCCGGTTCTCTTTATTTTTCAGCTCAGAACCAGATTCATGTGTTCTGGCGTCACACTGGATCAGAACCTTTATCACACCGTGCTGCTGATGTTTTAATTCCATTAATGTGTCCGATCCCGAGTCCGGCTCTCGTTAAGTTAATTAACTAATAATTCAGATTAATTCATGGATCCAACCCTGAAGCTGAGTCCAGAACCAGACGGGTTCAGATCGGCTCCATTTATTCCTCCTGAGCTGAACGGGTTTCAGTTCTTCTGTCTTTAAGTCAGAAAACGTGGATTTAATTTGACGCTTTGCTCATTTTTCCTGTTTGGCCTCAAAAGCTAATTATTAAAAATAAAAGAATGAATTAATGCGTTTTATTGACGTTAAATTAACGATGGAGACAAACGTCAGGTCGTTTCCTCGTTTAGTTTCTCGGCTGCTGCTTCTCTGTTTAACATCATTTAACTAAAAACAGCAGAAACACGAGCTGATAATAGAAATAAAAATAATTTACTGCCTCATTTATTAAAACAAATGTTTTAATCTGGTTGAATTTGACGTAATTTAAATGTTCTCGTATTTAAAACTCCTGATTTATTTCATCTTGTTCTGAATGTGTGAAGCTGAAAATGTTTGTTAGTTTAAAGACATTTAAAAAAAAAAACAGTTTAGATTAAAACCAGATTTATTTAATGATCGTATTTAGTTGAATGTTCACGTTTCAACCGAAGGCGTTTGTGTGTTAAAGGAATTAAATGAATTAAATGAATTAAAGGAATTAAATGAATTAAACGAAGCTTCATAAACGTCAGAACGATGAACTAAAATCATCAGAACCACAGGAACAGAAATGTGATTAAAAATCTGTGTTTGTGTCGCGTCGGTCCAGTTCAGTGTTTAAACGGGTCCACAGGTTCTGTTTTAAATAATAACGGAGGCTGTAAATGACTCTCAGGTTTCATTCTGAGGGATTTTTCCGGAGCGACGTCTCGTCTGGTTCGACTTTTAAACGCCGACATGATGAAAAACAGAAAAGCAGCAAAATGAGGAAACGAACTGAAGCAAATGTTGAAGGTTCAGCTTTTTACTTCCAGCATCGTGAAGCAGCGACGGGCTGGAATCAGATCAACAGAAAGCCCTCAATACATCATCAATAAATATCTGCTTATTGATCAGATAATTCAGCATTAATTAAACAGACCGGACTTTACAGAACCGTCACTTTTATCCTGAATTCAGTTCTGATTATTTTCCACCTGCTGCAGAATTTCTCTGAACGTTGTCATCATGGAGCTGCTGCTGCTCGTTAACAGGCTGATAATCGTCCTACATGTGACTTAATTGTGACAGTATTTTTCATTTCATTTACCGTCACATGTTCAGTCCAATCAAACCCACTGATCGGTGGACAAACCAGGTCCGGTTCGGTACTGAACCTCAGACTGGGTTCTGCAGCAGCCCGTCGGCCTTCAGCGAACACGCTGATCAGTTTGTTGATTAATATTCTGATATTTCCTGACACACCAGAACTGATCGTGTTGATTGATCCCTGATCAGACGGGTTCTGTGTTCGTCTGTAAAACATTTATCGGCTTCTTTTGAGCCATCAAACTGTTTTAATCATTTAATCCGTTACTTTTAGCTTCATTAATAATAAATACAAATACTTTGTTTTTTAAAAAGGTATTCGTGAACATTTCTTATTTTTATCAGTTATCCAATATAATATAATATATATTTATTTATTGACTCTGATGACTTTAGCGTAGCTACTTATTACTTTAAGCCATTCATTTATTGTTTTTAACTCTTATTAATTACTTTTAGCTAACGAGAATATCACCGTTAGCCGCCTGTCCTTTACGTTCTAACTACTTCTTTTTAGCTAATAATTACTTTTGGAAAACAATTTATGACTTTAAGTGACAATTTCTTTTTATTTAGGGAACAATTTGTTATTTGTAGTTTATTACTTTGACCTGAGTATTGTTTCTATCTGATCATTAATTATTGTCATTTCATGATTTATTTCTTGAGCTAGCTCATATGTTACCTTAAACCAGCTGTTTGTTACTTTCAGCTCACTGCTTATGACTGTTTACTAATTATCACATGTAGCTCATGATTTATTACTTTAAGGGACCATTTCTTAGTTTTAGCGACCGATTAGCTAACATTCATTTCCTGTTGCTAACGATTAGCAAAATAGTTCTTACTCTTAGCTAACATTGTTTTTCTTTTATCTAATAATTCATTGCTTGTCGTAATTAATTACTTTTAGCTAGCTAGTTACTATATTTAGCTTGCTATTTATTACTATTAGCTAACTGTTGCTTCCTGTTAGCCACCGTTTCTCAGTTTTAGCTCCCTGTTGTTTATGACTTTTAGCTAGCTTTGCATTGTTTTTAACGGACTACTTTTTACTTGTAGCTTGTCGACTGCTCACCGCTAACTCCTGAAAACATACATGTAGCTACTTGTTATTTTTAGCTAACCTTGTATTACATGCAGTAATTATTGATCACTTTTAGTCAAGCATTTTAGGCTAATTTCAGCTAGCTGCCTGATGATTTTACATTTAGCTGTTTACTACTTTTAGCGCTAAGTTAGCCGATAAACACGATGGTTTCAGTTCGCTATCGTTTTCTTTCCATGGAGCCTCCAGCTACGAGTCATTCAACTTTTCATATCTGAACAAAAGCCGGTTCTGGTCCTTTGATCCGTTTATTATTTCACATATTTCCACATTGATCCGGTTCTTTTATTTTCTGCTTCTCACGTTGTCTTCTCATTCAAACCCTTTTTTAAATCCTCTCTAAATGATCTTTTCTTCAACACAACTCAAGAAATCTGCTGCAGTTCAAACATCACGGTGAGTCCACAGAGAAAACCCGGTTCTGTGTGAAAGATGACGGCTGAGGCAGCAGAACCCGTCCTGTGGTTCTGTGTTTGAACAGTAGCCGGTCTGTCCGGGCGGCGAGCAGCAGCAGCGTCTGGGCGGCCGTCAGGGATTATCCAGTGAACACTTCGTGGTGCCGAACACAATGCGCTCCGTCAATGCGTTCAGGTCTTTGAGTGTGTTGCCGAGAGACGGCGACTGTTACCGTAGAAATGTGGGTCTGCGGCGCCCCCGCCTCCACCTCCTCCTCCACCTCCTCCACCTCCTGACCACACACAAGTAGAACAAATGGCATTTAAACAGCAGAACGGTGCCGTTACTCACATTCCTGCTCAGAGCGCCTCAGAACCAACAAGACAAACGGCGCTCACACGAGTTCAAGTGATGCCAGAGAAACATTTAGTGAACCACAGAGGAGTGATCTGGGCCACAAACAGAACTGTGCTGATCCCACAGAGACCCGGAGCTCCAGCAGCAGCAGCAGCGCTTCATCACAGAGTTACAGGTCTGAATGGAAGCAGGTTCAGGATCAAGCTACAACCAGAGCCAATCAAACGGATTCATTCTAGAATTAATTAATAAGAACATTAATTAGGACCAAACATAGTCAGTCAGAAACCAAACGAACACATGAAATGAATTAGTGAAGAAATAATAAACATGATTTAAATTATTATCATTGTTGTTTAAAGCAACACGTTACAGGTGATGATTGACATCCTGTCTCACGCTGTCATTGGCTGTTTGTGCTCCGTGTTTGGTCTCCACCACCTTTAACGTCCTGCGTTTAGGAAACATCCCGTCTGAGTGAAGCCTGTTTTCACCTGAACATGTTTCACTGAAGAACCAGGAACAAAACGCAGCAGCTTCAGGATGTTTGTGGCTTTAAAGGCTAAAACCTAAAGCTAGCGTTAGCGTTAGCTGGTCCACCTCATGATGGGTTCTGTTCTGTCCTGAGTTAAAACGAGTCTGAAAACGTGTTTAATACTTTAGAACAGTTCAGACTGACCTTCAGCTGGAGCTGCTGGACGTTCACACGCTAACACGTGTTCCTCAGGGTTCCTGCTGGTCGGAGAACCAAACCACTGACGAGCTTTACTTCCATCCAGAGGATCTGGAGGATCTGGACCGTTTGGGTTCATTTTTGATCTTAATGCTGATGTTTCTGAGATGTTTGCGCTCTCCTCTGCTGCTGTGGGGTTGGTGAAGGATATTTTCCTGGGACAGAACACTGGTACTGGTACTGGTACTGGTACTGTGAGGCCCAGACGGTGCTGAGCAACGTGCAGGATTCACACCTGAAC